CCAACTTATGCGTCTCCTAATGCTTAAAACATGATCTGCATTATCAAAGGTTGGAAAAAAAATCTTCCTGCTCATTGTCTTTTCTTCGAGGAGTCCACTTCCAGCCAAAACGATCACCCTCAGCTCGGCTGTTTTTATTTCGTTTCTTATTATCCCAGATAATTACAAATATGTCAGGCGTGTCACCGTATGACGTCTGCTGACGCCGGCACGTTGGCGAACCAAGTAGCTGAAGTGACACGGTGATATATCTCACCCTCTCCCGCTCTCAATTAGCTCCCGGTGCTCCAGGTTAATGGAACTTTTGATTGGGGAAAACTGTGGTTTCCTGGACGCCTGGTTTCCTTGTAGATGGGACTTGTGGGAGGTCGACCCCCTCCTTATCTGCTGTTGCAGAAAGCCGAGTTTCCCTTCTGCTCTTGTGTGTGTTTTCCACTTCACCTAAGTGTACCAAACCACCGTGCGTTTTATTTGGTTTCCTTTACATTCAACTGTGGCCTTCGTATCATGAAGCAAGCTGGAATAGAAAATGAATTTGAGAAATAAATTTGAGAAAGTGGGTCAAATATATGATTAACCTGAAACTGTATGCGATAGATTTAAAGGTAATCTAGTGCATTAAATATATATATTTTTTAAAATGTATGTAATAATTGAATTACTTTGAGGTTGGTGTCGTCACAGATGCTATTTTCAGTAACGCTCCACCCATGCTCTTTGCCCGTTTATGTGTTAAGTGGGAGCATGCTTAGTCAGGACTACCAAGATGGCGATAGCCAGAGCTGACCACCAGTGTTTACTTTGGAAGAATATGTCCCTACCATAAAACCCATGCTTTTGGAATAGAGTTTGGTTTGGATTACTCAAAAGACCACCGGGAGCATAACTTGAGCTGACTGACCTTCTCAGTAATGAACCTTGTAAACTGGATAAAGTAACGCAGGCAGTGGGACTTAAACCGACCTGTTTTCTACTCGTCTCTGCTCGTAGTCAAAGGTTGCGTAATAAGCACAAACGGCTATTAAAATAGAGACAGCGGTTTCTGCTTCGCCACAACAATCTAATTAGTTTACATTAATGTCACATTGGACAGATAAAATAAAGAAAAAGTGACAAATGTCAGAAATACATTACCTGGAGACTGAATAAGGTAGTTGTAAATGTCAGGTCTGTCCACTATGATGGAGGCAGACTCAAAGGACACTCTTCAACCCCTATTTCATCATCATTGATCGGCGAGACATAATTTAATTGTGGGCCATAGGATTTGGACTCGTAATAGCTAAAAAGCAATACGGTATTCTTATTTTATGCTATTAAATTAGCAAAGACCTCGGAATTTGCATTTACCGCCATTCAAACCTACTGGGGCTGCTTTCACCAAAAGGGGGCGGGGGCATGACACAAGGACAAAGTACCTGGATGGGCTGCTCTCATCTATTAGCTGATTAGCTTTATTGATTACACTAGCATAAATGGTTTTGTTTATTGATTGATGTTCCAGACAGACAGTGTTAAACTGGAAATTTAAAGGCTCAAAACGTCTGAACAATGTGTATTGTCTCGTCTTGTTTTTGGCAAACTTGTTGAGGTTTAAAGGTTTTAACACAGTTTAATCTGGAAATAAGTTTATTAAGAAGCCCAGCTTGACACAGTGTTTTTTCATTCTTCCCAAATTATTTGGGGGTTTTAAAGGATGTAAGCAGTGTCAGTAATATGTTTTAGATGCAGCTAGTTGGGTTTTTTGTGAGTTTAAAACTTCTCAAAAGTCTCACTGTAGCTTCTTCGAAAACCTGAATTTGGTCGGTTTAGGGGAAGTTTGTCACTAATATGTTCTTGAAATGAGTTTGTATGATTTTTCTAATTTGAAAAGTGACCATCTTCACATAATAATCAGCTCAGGTTGAATCTACAACTTGTTTATGTTAAACAGTAGTTGAGTAGACCATAAATGTGAATGCATACAGTATGTTCTGTATTTGTCACAACAGCAGAGTAATGAGAGCATCTCCAACTGCAACAAATTCAATATTGATTTAACTTTTGTTGAAACGTACAGTAATTTCTGCTGCTAGGGGCTCTCTCACATCAAAACATGGGAGTTGTTGTCTTCATTGTTAAACAACCACCATTACAGATGAAAATCTGTCTGACGTGACTAAAGCAGAAATAGTTAACAGACGGACACAGAAGGTAAATTAAAGTTTTAATCATGTTGCTTTAGTCGCATTCACAGACTTCCTTCCTCACTCACTGACGTATCC